TCAATACTTAAACACTGATTTTTCAAATTAAAACCAAAATGTTAGTATTTTACTTTTTTTATTATCACTGTAAATGCTAAATTAAGTTTTTTTAAAAAGTTGCTGGTGCATTTTAAAATAAAATAAGTATTTGAGAAATTAGTTTACTTCTTTCAATATTGTGTTTGTCTCAGATGCTTTCCATTTTCTTTTAAGTTTTGTACTGCTTTTGTGCATATTCAGTTTTGCAGCCATGCTCATCTTGTTAATCCATTGTTTCAACTGCTTTCTTAAAAGTATTAAAATTGTCTAAAAAAGGAACTGATATGATGACAGCTCAGTAGTTCATAACAAGCTGAGAATTTTTGTGAGATGCTTCATTTTCTTGCTAAATTCTTTCTTACAACTGAATCACATGACAGTTTTTCACCCTGCAGCAGAAAAAAAGCCCTGCCAGTTGTATGATTGATTAGAAACCAGTACTGATCTCCAGTTCTTCACAATCCTCATCTCTCTATCTGTAAATTTATATTCCAGCAGACCCATATTTGTCTTTTTTTCAACCACCATCACTGCTGATTTGAAATCAATCTGTAATCATCTATTATTCCAAGATGTATTCCAACAATACCAAGCAGGCCCCTCCAATTTCTACCTCTGCATTTGATTATCTTTTTTCCTAAACGAAGAATTTTGTAATTGTCTCTTAATTTCAGCCCATTACTCTAATCATCAGGGTCAATTTGAATTTTTATTCTGTCTCCTAAAGTATTGGATTTCTACCCAATTTTTTTCCAGCTGCAAATTTGATAAGGAGTTTTTTCCATCATTAAAGTTACTAAAAAAATATTGAAGAGCAAAGGGCCCAATACAGCATCTTCTGGTATTCTGCTACATATCTCTTTCTAGTTTGAAGTATCTTTAATGAACAATCTTTGATTGCTTAATACCAATGACAAGGCAGCTTTCCATAATTTGAAGCAAAATTAAAAGTAATGTGGTAATGTACTGTAACTCCTAAATTAGGCATATCACAATTACAAAAAAAACCCCACTTGAAATACCACTTCAAAATCTTTTTTTTTTTCAGCCCCATATACTAGTACCACTCATCTGCCCAAAATGGTCAAGAATGGCTTTTGATCATCAGAAGATTGTCCTCACGCACTAATTACCACCACCTGCTTTGAATCATTTGCACATCACCAATTCTTCAGGATCCCTCAAAAATTATAAAGTTTCAGACAATCGGTTCACAACTTCCTTTAACAGCCTAGGATGCAATTCATCAGCTCCTTGGAAATTTAAATCATTCAAAGTAAGGAGATTAATCTCTAATCATACGTCTATCAATTGCATGCTTTAGTTCTGTCTTCTTCTTTATAATTTATTTGGGGAACACACACTTTCCTGCTGGAGAAGACAGAACCAAAATAGTAGCTCCACCCTTTCTTTTTACCTATTAGCATGTTGCTGTCTTCATTGCATAGTTTGTATATCTAACTTTATGTCTCGTATTTACTTCGAGTCAGGGGTGAAATCCAGCAATTCTGACAGGTTCTGGAGAACCGGTAGCGGAAATTTTGAGCAGTTCAGAGAACCGGTAGTGGAAATTTTGAGTAGTTCGGAGAACCGGCAAAGACCACCTCTGGTTAGCCCCAGAATGGGATAGGAATGGAGATTTTGCAATATCCTTCCCCTGGAGTGGGGTGGGAATGGAGATTTTGCAGTATCCTTCCCTTGGAATGGGGTGGAAATGGAGATTTTGCAGTATTCTTCCCCTGCCATACCCACCAAGCCACACCACACCCACCAAGCCACGCCCACAGAACCGGTAGTAAAAAAAAAATTGGATTTCACCACTGCTTTGAGTATATATGATTGTAGCCCTTTTCATTTTGAGCACTCTTCACTGATTTCTGTTTATTTTGAACTTTAGCCTTTCTGACATGCAATAAAGAGTAATAATTGAAGATACTACCAGAGCTTCTAAATTTGGGGCATCCAGAGTTATATTGAAAAATTATATTTGTAATAAGTAGGAAAACCAATTCTGCATTTGAATGTAGGTATTCTTTGTAGATGGAGCCAAGCACTTGATTCCTTGAGCCAAGCTGAACTACATATGTAGTTTTCTTGACAGCAATAAAATACAGTTTGCCATTGCCTTCTTCCAGAATGTTTTATTATTTTTTAATCCACTCTCCATCCCTGGGATTATTCTGGTGGTCTCCCATCCAAGTTATAACCACCTCCAACTTCACTTAGCTTTTCTGAGATTAGTCAAGGTGAGGAACATGCTGCCATCTACTGTACAGCTAACATACAAACCATATTGTGTCTAATGTAGAATAGTCACATGCTATTAGAATTAATGCTCTACGAAATATGTCTACAATAGAACTATATGCAAAGAAAGATGTTACTGAAAGTGAGGGTCTCAACTCAGAATTTACTGTTGCAAACCAACATTTAATGTAATTTTTATTCCCTCAAAATATATGCAGCATGATAAATGAACTTGTTCTGTTTTTTTAAAAATAGTATGTTTCTCTGTTAGAAAGTGTCAATAATTATGCTTTATAGCATCATTTTTCAAATGTTTAAGAGCCTAGAATCAGATACTGTTTAGGTCTGTTTCAAATTTATTTCACTGCTAAAAAGTCAGCAACTGACCCAGACTAACCGCTTACTATTAAACAGGACATTTTTCAAGTGTTTCTTTATGTAATATTATACACCAGTTCACTATATATAATCACAAAGGATTTCACAGCTATAATGTAAAAATATGTGAGCCAGAAAATTCAGCACCAATTGTGAGAATCCTTTCTGTTCCTTTAGGAGTGGAATTTAATATGCATAGTTCTTAAAAGAACTTCAAGAGCTGATGATTTATTTCTCCATTCTGTTTCATATAAAGTATTAGTCCTTTTTCATACTTTGGCAATAATTCAGGAATGGTGTATGCTCCTGAGGGTTTATTCTCTGTGAATGGGCAATGCCTTCTGGCCAGAATAATGAACTTGTCTACTAAAAAGGTCATAACAAATGGTCTGGCTTGAATTTTTCGTGACATTCATCAATTTTGGCGAAGGTTGTTGAGATTGTGGTGGCGCAACAGCTCCCGCAGTACCTGGATGAAACCGTCTATCTAGATCCATTCCAGTCCGGCTTCAGGCCCGAGTACAGCATGGAAACGGCATTGGTCGCGTTGGTTGATGATCTCTGGAGGGCTCAGGACAGGGGTTGCTCCTCTGTTCTGGTCCTATTAGACCTCTCAGCAGCTTTTAATATCATCGACCATGGTATCATGCTGTGCTGGCTGGAGGAGTTGGGAATGGGAGGCACTGTTTTACGGTGATTCTCCTCCTATCTCTCCGACCAGTCGCAGTCTGTGTTGGCTGGGGGGCAGTGGTCGACCTCAAGGCACCTGGTTTGTGGGGTGCCACAAGGGTCGGTCCTCTCACCTCTCCTGTTCAACATTTATGTGAAGCCGCTGGGTGAGATCATCCATGGTTTTGGGGTGCAGTGCCATCTGTATGCTGACAACACCCAGCTGTACATCTCCACCCCAGACCATCCCAATGATGCCCTTGAAGTGATGTCCCGGTGCCTGGAGGCCGTGCGGGTCTGGATGGGGAGGAACAGGCTCCGACTCAACCTCTCCAAGACTGAGTGGCTGTGGTTGCCGGCGTCCCGATATAGCCAGCCGGTGCCATCGCTGGCTATTGGGGGCGAGACATTGGCCCCCACGGAGAGGGTGCGTAACTTGGGTGTCCTCCTGGATGCACGGCTGTCTTTAGAAGAGCATATGACGGCCGTGGCCAGGGGGGCTTTCTATCAGGTTCGCCTGATATGCCAATTGCGCCCCTTTCTGGATCGGGACTTCTTATGCACAGTCACTCATGCCCTCGTTACTTCCCGCCTGGACTACTGCAATGCTCTCTACATGGGGCTCCCCTTGAGGAGCACCCGGAGGCTCCAGCTGGTGCAGAATGCAGCTGTGCGGGTACTTATGGGGGCAACATGGCGCTCCCACGTAACACCTCTCCTGCGTGAGCTGCATTGGCTTCCGGTGGTCTTCCGGGTGCGCTTCAAGGTATTGGTTCTCATCTTCAAAGCGCTCCATGGCTTAGGGCCCGGTTATTTACGAGACCACCTTCTGCCACCGATAACCTCCCACTGGCCAATACGCTCCCACAGAGAGGGTCTCCTCAGGGTGCTGTCAGTCAGGCAATGTCGGCTGGCGACCCCCAGGGGAAGAGCCTTCTCTGTGGAGGCACCTGCCCTCTGGAATGAGCTACCCCCAGGGATATGACTGATCCCGGACCTCCGGACCTTTCGCCGGGCTCTGAAGACTTTTTTATTTCAGCAAGCCGGGCTGGCTTAAAATGTTTAATTGGTTAATTTTATGGGTAAGGGGTTTTAAATTGGGGGAAGCCAATATAGATTTAATTATGTTTTAAAGTATTTTAATGTTTATATTGTATGTTTTTTAATCCTGGCTGTTCACCGCCCCAAGTCCTTCGGGAGAGGGGCGGTATAAAAATTTAATAAATGAATGAATGAATGAATGAATGAATGAATGAATGAATGAATTTTGGGAAGTTTCATGTAAATATCAATTCCAACTCTTCTCTCACATGAAGAATAAGAACACTCTCAGGTAGACAGATGTGTATGTATACATAAATCTATTATGAATATTTTGTGTAGGTGTGGAGGGGAGATAGATAGATAGATGATAGATAGGATAAATCGATAGGATAGAATAGGTAGGTAGGTAGGTAGGCAGACAGACAGACAGACAGACAGACAGACAGACAGACAGATAGAAAATGTGTGTATGTGTGTGTATGCTTTGCCATAAGCCTATGAAAAATGAAAGAAATATCACCACCAACACCAAGGTACATTAGCCAAGCAGTCATATTATGTTTGCATTTTCCAAAAAAGAAATAAAATCAAAAATATCTTAGCTCCTAGGAGTTTTGCATTACTCTGACCAGTTGTAAAACTTAAGTTTCTATTCTACTTTATTTTTCAAATGCAAAGAAAATATTTTTGGCACCTTAATGACAGCAATGTCCTACATTACTTTGGTGACAATGGACTACTTAGATCTTCCCCTAAAGCACTGCAGAGACTGCAAACACTTTTCCTGGGAATGGTATAGCAGGGTACTCAAAATGGCAACCATTTCGTAGTAGAGATCTTGCAGCCTGAAATTAAACATATGCAGTTATTGTATCAGTATTGAAAGACAAAAAAAAAAAGCCATTTGGCTATGCCATCTCTAAACACATTCCTTAACTACAGCGTTCAGGGTAACCATTTCAGATGCTTTAAAAAGAAGGTTTTCGATTTGGTTTTAGGATTGGAGATAGTGAAGCATTTGATCATTGCTGAATGTTAGCATGTGAGAGGCTCTAAATCCCAGAGTCTATTTAAGAAAAGTTACACACTTGTACACAGTGGCATCCTGACGATCAAGGGATGCCAAATAGAGGTCAATGAATGGCAGGCTGGCACAGAAGTCTTCCAAGATCATAGGATCTGAATGAAGTAGGTTTTTTTTAAAGCTTTCCACCATTTCATCGAAGGTTTTGTACTCGGTTGATTTCTAGGGTGAAAAGAGAGGTGGTAAGGTTAATTACTCATTCAGAACTCATTCAGAAGCCAGTTTTGGTTTCACAGAACCAAAAGTCACTTCTCCAAATAGCCACAATGGAAAGTAAGGAGTGGGTCATCAGATTTAAAATTTGCCTCATGAATAACCTCTTTAATGTTTACAAATTTTGTCCCATCTCAATATTTAAGGATGAGGGTCCCTTTAAATTATGCTATGCTAGCTCAATATGGAGGGGAGAGGGTGTTTCTGTGGGAGAGAAGAATGAAGAACATTGGGAACGGAAGTTAAGTATCTGTAATGACATTAGAGTTACTCAAGGCATGATGATCATCCCAGTTCCCTAGCTAAAACAAATAACACCTGCAGCATATGGGGCAGCAGCAACATAGAAAGATGATAGAAGTGGATTTTAGTGACAATGGCAAAGGCTTCGATTCAGACTGAGGTGGGATGGGGAGAGCCAAGAGACAAGAAAGTGGTGAACCATTCTTGTATTTTACCAAGGAAACCACATAAATGAAGTGATTGACAAGATAATGCCAGATGACGGGTTCCCTAAGTTCAGATGGCACTCAAACTGATATTGAGGAACAGCTGAGAACTTTCAGAATACTAATGATGTTTATGATGGATTAAAGCTTTTTGAAATTTCTGGTTGCTGTTGTTGCCCTGACAAAAAAAATCCCAAAGCAACAAAGACAGAATTTCAGCAAGAACAGGGAACATAAGATGTGTGAATTTGAGAAAGCTCAAGTGAAAAATGAGATGAATCACCTATAATAAATGAATGGGAGACTTATCTATTGAAAAACATTATATAAAATACAATGCCTACCTGCAGATTAAACAATTCAAATATTTCTTCCTGTTGCCTTTTTAAGATGGTCTGCTTCTTTGCAATCAAAGTAACCTGCCTTTCTTCTTTCAGTTTTTGCTCATATTGCTCAGTTGAGTTCTACATAAATCAAAGGATGTTGAGACAAAGGCCCCATTTGGTTCTAATTTCCTACTATGAATCTCCTCACTGGCTGGAGATGACAGAACAAAACTACAGTGCAGAAATGACCAGTTGGAGTAATTCATTTACCATAATCTACAACCATACTGGTTAAGCCAATTCTGAGTAACAGTAGTTTAAAATCAATTGCTGCATTGGCCAATGGCCATATCTCAAATGATAAATTGTTTTCACTTTGCAGCTTTAAGGAATTTCTCTCCATTGTATACTCTCTCTCCTCCCACTTCCTCAGTTTTAGGTTACCTAGCTTATCATTTTCACACTTTTAACTTGTGTCAAACTGGCGGCCCGCAGACCGGTTGTGTCATGCGCAGGCCATACCCACCCCAGCTCCGTGAAGGGAAAAAACATCATGAAATGTGTGCCGTCGGCCAAACAGTGTCGACTGGCGGCCCCCAGGGGGAGAGCCTTCTCTGTGGGGGCACCTACCATCTGGAACGAGCTCCCCCCAGAGATATGGAAGATCCCGGACCTGCGCACGTTTCGCCGTGCTCTCAAAACTTTTCTATTTCAGCAAGCTGGCCTGGACTAACTCCCCTCTTTTAAATTCTTAAATTTTAAATTTTTTAATTTGTGATTTTATAAATTGGGTGTTTTAATCTGTGTTTCGGCCGAAATATTTAATAATTTTAAGGGATTTTTAATATTTGTATTGTCTGTATTTTATCTTGGCTGTTCACCGCCCTGAGTCCTTCGGGAGTAGGGCGGTATAGAAATTTGATTAATAAATAAATAAAATAAATAAATGTCATGTGACGGCAACATGACCCTGCAAGTTTGACACCCATGATCTAAGCACTCTGAAATTATAACATTGTTTCTGATTACAGGTAGTGTTTGTTTAGCGACCTCAACTGAGGCTTGCAATTTGGTTGTTAAGTGAAAGAATCCCTAAGTAAAATCACAATTATATTTAAAATCTTACTTCAGCTGTCCTTTACACACCTGCTACACATTGTAAATGTGAGGATTGGTCATGCAGTTATTTTCCCATAATCATTATAATGGTGAATAGTCAGATCAAATGAGTCAGTCAGTAACAAGGGTTATTTTTTATGCCTTTCAGTCAGCGTGGTCTCCTGATGACTGCTTGGACAAGTTCCTATAGCTTTCTTGCCAAGATTTCTTGGAAGTGGTTTGCCATTGTCTCTTTCCTAGGGCTGAGAGAGAGGGACTGGCCCAAATTCACCCAGCTGCCTTTGTGTTGAAGATGGAATTAGAACTCACTCTCTCACTGATTTCTAGCTTGATGTATTAACAGTACACCAAACTGATTGTATAAACAAGGTTTACTTATACTATTATTTTGACACAATCATGATTGGATGACTGTAGAAGGCACTGTAATTTACTGGTGGGAAAACAACCTCTGAAATGGCTTACCGTTAGTGGATAAAACTTATCCAATCTCATACAATGTTTAAAACACTGTGTTTTCATTCAGATTTGAGATTCAAAAATCTGAAAAACCAATAGATGGCTGCAAATGTGTGTATGTATGCCATTCATCTAGCTTTGAGTTTACTCTAATTTTTTGTTCCTATCTATTGGTTGCCTGAAGTTCTACAGACCAGGTTTAGTAAACCTAACAAACACTTTTCAGCTAAGGTAAACCAGAATCAAGCAGGGGATTATATACAGCCCAAGTTATGTTAAAAAGCTCAAAATTTAAAATATAGAAAAATAATATATACTGTATATCCCAAAAGAGATTTCTACTGAACAGATTAAAGTTCTGTAACCCTGCAATAGTTGACACTATTTTTATACCCAATGACAATTTCTAATAATTGGATTTGAGTAGAAATTTTAAAATGCCATATAAAGGTCACTTACCTGGATATCCATAATGACAACTCCAATAAACATATTGAAAAATACAAAAAATCCTAGGAGAATGAATACTATTGTGAATGTTCGGCTTGTAACAAACTTTTTATTATCCAATTCATCCTGCAAGTCTGTCCATCCATCAACCTGAAATTTATCAATTGAAGATTACAATCAAAAGATACCTTTTGTCAAGTATCTGATAAATTATTTCTCTAGTCCAGAGATGGAACACTATGGCCCCTTTATGACTTTATGACATGGCTGGCACAGGAATTATGCGAGTTGAAGTCAAGTCATAAAAGGGCTATACTTCCTCCACCTCTGCTCTAGTCCAATGCATTCCCCCTACCCCCCAATACACAAACATACCTAATCAAACTATAAATGAACTGCACTTGTTCACATGTAATAAAAATTACTTATCTGGTCATAAAAATGTTTCACTGCACTGTTGCATTTATGCAGTTGTGAAATCCTCCGCAGTTTGGCGCCGATTCGCTGTCCGCGCATGCGCAGTGCACACCAAATGCACACTTTGTGTGGAAAAAGAAGGCTTAAGAATGTAAGTAGAACAGTGAGGGGGGGGACAGTTGTGTCGTGCGATTTGGATTCACTAGAAAGCAGGATTTCCTGCTTTCTAGCGAATATAAATCGCACAGCACAGCTGACCGTCAGAAATACCGGTTCGGACAAATTGATAGCCCGAACCGGTGTGAACCGGTAGCATTTCACCCCTGCATTTATGTCATTTCAGTCATTTTGGTGTTTGTTTTATCTGTTATCTCCTATTGTGTTAAACAAAAAAAAGATTATGCAAGATAAAGGCTACAGTATTAAACAGAAGCTGGGGAACATGAGAAAGTAGAAATCTTCCAATGCTAGGAGTGCTTGAGGGAAGCAGGCCAAAAAATCAAGATAGGGTCCACAACCAAAATATCACAAAGCATGTAAAAAAGGGATAGAGCCTGGACGCATTATTGTGGTTGCTGTCTTGATGTTCTTTTTGACCTCCTGGCCTATGTCCCACTTTGGGGCCTTCTATTAATGTGTGATTGAGCCTTCTGAAAAGAAAAGGGTAGACTAAATCAATTTGGCCTGATCCAGAGAGATCATGGTTACTCCTACATGGGTATTAGTGTACTCACTCTACACATGCTGAAAAGCACCATTTTTTTCAAGCCAAACTAATAATGTTCACAAAGGCTACTTAGACATTATGATGATACTTGCAGGGGAGTATCTTCTTGCAATGCAAATTAAATCAAATAGTTCTAGCAACTTACACCAGCTTGATTTAATCCTAAAAAAGCAATTAGTGATATTATAGTCTGAATTTTCAGCAAAACAAGCAATTCCATAATAGGTTTTCAAATTGTGACCCGCTGGAGCGTCAGAGATAACATAAAGAAGGGTCACATTTAAAAAAAAAAAAAGCCTAGTCATGCATGATAGGCAAAGTTTGAGCACTGTCAAAGCTCACCCTGGGCTTTGGACCTTGTTTATCTATATAAGTCTACAAAGCTCGAATGATATCTAGATTAAAATTTAGTTCTTGAAAATGGCTTAAATCAAAGCAAACAGGATTGGAGAAAATACTAAGTGCAATCCTGACAAGTTACTAACCTTGATCTAAATAAACAAGGTCTTGCCTTTGTTTCCCCTTTTATAAACACTCAGATGCTCTGTATTCCCTCTTGCTGTATTCCGAATTTTGTCTACCTAGTTTCATTTTGCTGGAGAACTAGCCTGGAGAAACCAAGTCTTCAATTTTGGTTCCTATTCTAAAACAATAACGTTAGTCTAGCAGAGTTGAGTATCATGTGAAATGTATGAAAATTACCGTTACTAAGCTGAAGAGTGTAAAAAAGGCAGCTGCTAAACTTCCCCAGTTCTGAGGATCTCCCTGTTGCGGGTCTCCATACAAACCATGTCCCAGAATAGCAAAGATAAATATTAGCAAGAACAACAAGACAAGGACATAGATTACATTTTTCACAGTCTGGCCCATAGCTGCCAATAGATTCTGTAGAAGGGAGGAACAAAAGGAAGAAAAACCAAGTGAATACAATTTATGTGGTTTTATGTCGATCTCTTCCAACCTGATGGTCTCCAGGTGTGTGATGACAACAATTTTCAGAGCTGCCAGCCAGCTCTGGAGGACACCAGGACAGGAAGGATGATTTACAGCTAGTCCTTAGTTTAAGACCGTTCGTTTAGTGACTGAAGTTATGATAGTGCTAAAAAGTGACTTATAACCAGTCATTGCATGAACAACTGTGGCAGCATCCCTGTGGTCAGGTAATCATGTGCTGAGTAATTGGCAGGTATAAGGCATAATGGCTGCAGTGTCCTATCATGTGACTGCCATTTGTGGCCTTCTCAGCCGGCTTCTAACAAACAAAGTCAATAGGGAAGTGGGGAGGGAAGGTCACAAATCACAATCACATGATGTTTCACATAATGACTGTGGCAAAAAAGGTGGCCAAAGTGGGTTTGGACATATGGTACCTCACACTGACCATACCGCTTAATACAGAGTTTTCCTTTCCCAAATGTGGTGTACGTTGAGGACTATCGCTACATGAGGGGCGGGGGAAGCTCTAAACTAAAAATAATGGAACAATAGGTTATCGAGTGGGATCTTTGCCCATCTGAAGCAAAGTTGCCATCTTACACAATGATCAACAATAGCATGCTTAATTGTGGAAAAAGAAATCACAATAAACCAGCAGCCCCGTAGGCTACTTCAGAGAAAGCAATTTAGGAAAAGCATATAGATCACAGCTTCTTGAATTCTTTCCATCCCTTAATAATAGTTCCATTTTGAATCACATGCCTGGGAGGGAGGACTTAAAATGTCAGCAACATTGTGTGCCACTGTTCAGTGCTTGTTGTAATGTATAGGGATACATTGGGAATTTTTTTCTGAGTGTTTTTTTCTCTACAGTCCCCAGCGTGATTTAGTCCTTTTTTCTTTCTTTCTTTCTTTTGTTGGATTCTCCTCCCACACCAAATTTAGTTCCATTCTATTCTCTTTTCTGAGAATTAGTGGAATGATAGGTAGAATTCTGCCTCCTTTCCGTAATTTCTTTCCAATATTCTGTTGAGTTGGAAATTATTTTTTTAAAACAGCATGGATGAATGAAGGCTTCTCAGTTGCGCGCAAGTTGGTCTTTGCCTTTTCCAGTCGTTGATTTTATTTATTTGGCCAGCACATGTGAAGATTATCATCATCATAATGAATAAATAGTACCATGTGCTTGTGTTTAGAACTTAGAAGTGGATTCTGAAGTACAAAAAGTCATGTGCAAATATATCTGAAATGACGGCATGTGGAGTAACTGTTTCAATACTAAAAGGCATGGGAGCTGCTAAACTGGTAACTTCTTTGATCTGACATCACAAAATAATTTCTTTGCTATCTCCAGAGGTACCAATGAGCATCTTATCCTGGATTTGCAGAAATCCATTAACTTTTTATCCATTAAACACCCAAATAGTCCAACAAATGGATTTGGGATTTGAAGTGTGAGATATTTTTAGCACTCACAGATGTTTGTTCTGAAAGAGCTAGCAGATTGCATAGGCTCCCTCTGGCATCTGTATTTGGCATCTGTATGCTTATAGTAAAGGAAAGGCTGCAAGCCTATTCTTTAGTCAATCCCTAGAGTAAAATAGTATTCAGGCTGCATGGGCTTTTCTGCAATGTTAGCCAAAATCCATGACCAAACACAATGAACTCAAGCAAAGTTCTCAAGTCGGAATTCACATCTGTTCCTGAAGAATCTACTCTACTGTACTGATGTCATTTCAGTTCTTTATAAGAATTAGTTCTGTTTGGAGTTCTTAACCGATGACCCTGTGTTTTTCAGTATTTCCTCTAAGGGCTTATTAAGTAAGAATTATTACACTGAAAAATGACATGTAATAGATAGTCCTGAAGAGTCGGAACAACAGTACTGTATTGTAGCAACTTTGTTTAAAAAGTAGAGGCTCTATAGAAATTACTATTTCTGTGAGGTCCTTGGTGCTCCTTGAGCATGGCTATTTTCTTGCAGACATTTAATTACCAAACTAGGTAACATCATCAGTGCTAGATGTTACCTAGTTTAGTAATGAAATATTGGATGAAATAGTGACCCCCACAAGGCCCATCACAAGATCCTCACTTGACACGAACCTCACCTGACAGGACCTCCCCATTGCAAGGCCTAATGACCACACAAAGCCCTTGTAAGCAGAAGAGCACCAGCACTGACATCCCCTAAACTCTCTTAAACATGTTACCTAACTTGGTAATGAAACATTCAGAAACCAACTCACAAGCATGGAAAATGAACCTCCACCCACATCCTCCACCCAAGCTACAGATAGTTGCCACTATTGCAGAGAGAAAGGCATTCCAATATGTGATCCCTTCCCAAAGCCTACAGGTAAATCCTGCATTAATACCGACCACAACAAATGCACCATCACGCATGTCTATAAGACAGATGAGAGGTCCCTTCTGAACAGAAAAAGGGAAGTTGTATCTGATTACTTACGGTTATCCCTGGACTATAGTAGAGCAGCTTGAGGACTCGGAGAGCTTGGAATCCTTTCAGCATGCTTTCAATATGGTGCTTTTCTGGGTTGCTATGGTCAATGGTATATGGGAGGTAAGCAAGGAAAAGGACAATAGCATCAAAACGCTTATAACCATCCTTCCAATAATTAACCGGGTCCAAGTAAAGGCTCATTAGAAATTCTGTGGTATAGATCGCTAAAATGATCAGATCTGCAACCTAAAAAAGAAATTTTATGTGATATTGTTCAAAAGGAATATGCTTGCATATATGTGTATGTTTGTATATATACACACACACACACACACACACACAATGTATGTATACATTATATACACAGCATTCTTTTTCAAACTTAATAAAGTTAGCCATTTCTTCAGGTTTGTCTCCTTAGCTATCGTCCAGTTTAAACATTTACAACTAGATTATTTAATTTTATTGTTGTTCTGCCAAACTATACAGTTTGAAGCAAGCAATTTAAGAATGGTGGACATTCTGTAAGCTATCCTTGACAGTTGTGCCATCTGACTTCATTTTTAACCATTATTATTTTAATGAAAAATAAATAAATGAGAAGTTGCATTAACAAAGCAGAGCAGCCTTTAACTTCTTGATCCCAGTGCTTCTAGACCTCCCAAATAAGGCTTTACCTTGGAAGATAAATACTGAGCATGTGCAGCTTACTCCTTCCTTTAGGAGTGGAGTTTCCTGTTTAGAAACACACAAAACTGGGGAGGCAGACCAGGAATGAAATGCTCCTGGTTCGGACCGGATCACTTGATCCGGTAGCGATGGCGGCGGCGGGAACCGGTAGCAAAAATCCCTGCCCGCCCCCCCATGCCCAGCTGAGCCATGCGATCATCAGAGGCTTTTTTTTTTTACTTTTAAAAGCATTTTTTCTACAACCTCTTCAGTCAAAAAAATGCTTTTAAAAGTAAAAAAAAAAGCCTCTGATGATTGCGCGGCTCAGCTGGGATTGTCAGAGCCTTTTAAAAGCATTTTTTCTACAACCTCTTCGGCCAAAGAGGTTATAGAAAAAATGTTTTTAAAAGGGAAAAAAAAAGTTGGCCACGCCCACCCAGTCAAATTACCCTCCCCACCAAGCCACACTCACAGAACTTCAGTAGTAACAAATTTCACATTTCACCACTGAGGTAGACAACACATAGGAGGGAAGCTAGAGAAAGGTAGGACACAACCTCAACAATTTGTAATAATCTGGTGGCCATCCAGATTATTACAGCCTAGATCTGGCAACTCTAACCATGAGGGGAGGGCAAACAGGGAAAGGCTGAATTTTATGAGTTCTTCAATGAGAGGTATGTAATAATTAGGCCTCTTAAGAATAACACTGGTTGCATACCAATGTGAGCCAATCAATCTTTCAATCAGTGAATCTTCAGGTTTCAGAGCTGAGACTGAAATTCTGGCTCTTTCAGTTTTTGTTTTTTTTAAAAAAAAGACCTCCTAAGAAGACAAGTTTTGCATAGGAAATAATATCCACCCAATGTCTGGTTGTCTAATATACTGTTAAACTTTAATGTAGTTCCATGCCTCTTGAAGAGTGATATGTTAATGTATGAAAGGATGCAGGTCTATCCGTTCTCATTTTTATTTTTAATCTACTGGAGGGTGATAGTATTGTATAAGGATCTGGGTTTAATAAATAAGCAAAACTACATGACTCACATTTTCAAAGCCCTTAACACATTATTTATTAAAAAACAAAACAATGAATGGACTTCTTGACATTAGCCAGGCTTTTCCCTTGGCTTCTGTGCCAGCAAAATATAATTAAAGCCAAGAGGTTTGTGTCTATTAGCGCCCATCAAGTAAGTTAAGAGATTCAAGGTATGTAAAAGATCAGTCCTTCTCAAGAGGAAGGCTAAATCAGGACAAAAGAGGTTATTGTAGTGCAAACATTTTCAAGTTCATATTCTTGGAGCTTGCAAGCAAAACACATTCAGTTCCAAAAAGATTTCTCAGTAAAAAGAAAACTATATTCATTACTAGAATGGAAAATCAGTCAAGATAAACCAATCTCTATCATACTGAGAATGCAGAGTAATATTTTCCAAGCTTTATAGAATATTTGGGAGGGGGAGAAGGAATATGTTGAATATCTGGATTCAAAATGCAGGCAATTGCTCAGGAATATATCTTAAATTATTACCAATTTTTCTAGTTGGCTATAAAGGCTAATAGTTATGGGCGTGCATGGCCTGAACAAAGAAGTCTCAATGTCCTCAATTAGCAAGCCACAGACCCAGTGCTGGTTATCAATGTGATTAGATGTATACTAGATTGATTTGTGGGTTGAATTTGGATTCAGTTTTCAGCTTGATGTCCTACCAGGTTGAATCTTTGCTTGCATTTGGATCACTGTTTTATGCAGGAGATGGCTTTACATCAGTGGTGGGTTGCCCCTGGTTCAGACTGGTTCACAGGAACCGGTAGTAAAACTGGCAGGAGGCTCCACCCACTGACCCGGATGTCATCATAGGCGATCTGCGCATGCGCGCGTGCCGGCATGATGCAAATCAGTAGTAAAGGTAAGTAGAACCCACCCCTGCTTTACATCAGGGGTATCCAATCTTGGCAACTTTAAGACTTGTGGACTTCAGCTCCAGAATTGCTGGCTGGAAAACTCTGGCAGCTGAAGTCCACAAGTCTTAAAAGTTGCCATGATTGGACACCCCTGCTTTACATATTTGCTACTAATAATACTGCTTTTGCTGGAGATCTTCCTGCTGTTGAAGAACCCATAGGCCTACTTTAGAAATTAGCATAAATAGTACAATCCAAAGAGAAGAAAGGTGTTTCATGGTATGCAAGAGGGCTCTAACAATTTCTATCAACATCTTCTTAAAGCAGCTGTATTTTTTTCCCAGAATTGCATCTCTGTCGTCTATAGCTGTACCCCAAACCAGGGAAAGCATTCAGCAAAATTGCCTATGCCTCAGTCACTATGCATCTCTTTATTGGGCAGCATTGCTTAAAGAGGACTTATCCTTGTGTTGTAGATGATATTATGAAAGTTGTTCTTTAAAGTTTGAACATAAAAGCACAGAAGCCTTGCTAACCAAAAGCCCACCTAGGTTAGCTAATTAGAAGTGGCTAACTTCTAGTTAGCTAATCTAACTTGATGGCTAACTAGAAGTTCCTCATAAGCTTTCAAATAGCCCCTGGGCTTAAGACCTCTATTATGTTCCATTATGACTAAGTTTACAGGTAGTCCTTGAACTATGATTACAGTACAGCCCAAAATTTCTATTGCTAAGCAAGGCAATTGTTGAGGGAATTTTTCCCTATTTTACGAATACTTGTCCTTCAGTTGTTAAGTGATAATCATGCCATTATTAAATGAACCTGCTTCCCTCATTGATTTTGCTTGTCGGAGACTGGGAAGGTTACAAATGGCGATCACATGACCTGGGAGCAGTGGTGGGTTCCTCTCGGTTCGGTCCGGTTCAGCCGAGCCGGTTGCGGTCACGATATGACGTCACCGAACCGGTTCTCCCCCCCGCCCTCCCACCCCCCCACGTTATTCTTACCTTTTATTTGGCCCCACCCCCAATCTATTGCTGCCTCCTGAGTCCCAGCTGATGACTAGAGGAAAAAAAACTGTTTAAACACTTGCCGCGGGGCTTCAAAGAGTGGTCCTACAGCTGATCAGTTTTAAAAGCAAACAAATGAGTTGGGTCATAAGTGCGAGGACTGGTCGTAAGTGCGAGGACCTTCCAGAAATGACTCTGACCAGCTAGCCATGCCCACCTAGTCACATGACCTACAAGCCACACCCACAAAATAAGCCACGCCCACAGAACCGGTAGTAAAAATATTTAGAACCCACCCCTGCCTGGGAGACTGCAATTCTCATAAATCCATGCCAGTTGCCAAGCAGTCAAATTTTGATTACATGACCACGGGGATGATGCAACAATCGTAAGTGTGAAAAACTGTCATGAGTCACTTTTTTCAGGGCTGTTGTAAATGAAAGGTTGTTAAGTCAAGGACTACCTGTATAGTCATAATTGCCTTGCTAGGGATAAAATGTAGCTATCACATACTGATAGCCTTTTTGCTCAATGAGTTGGTTGAAATCTCTTTAAAAACTTGATTTCTCCTCATCTTCCTTGTCTTTTCTTCTGCGGGGGAAAAAAAAGTCTTCAGAACAATCAAGTGAGAAATTGTGGCCACGTCAGTCAGCAGTTTTCATTACCTGCAGGAACAAATATGACTCATAATAAACTTTATAATCAGTTTCTAAAGACAAGAATATCGCATTGAGCGTAATGCTGCTGATCATAACAGACTTGAATAGAGGATGATAGAATAAATTTTCCACAAACATATACAGGTCGGGATCTCTCCTCCTGGAAAGAAAAAAAAAAAAAAGGACAGAATTGAACCTGAAAGAAATCCTCTTTTCTTAAGCTACTGCTTGTTCAAACAAAAACAAATTCGTATCATGCAGAAGGTGTGGTTATATACGAAAGACTTTGGATTAGGTAGAAGCAGTCAGATACTTAAAACAACTAACTGCAAGTATAGACTCATTGGATTACCTTTCAATTGTGATGAAATAGCAAGAAAAGAATTCAGATGTCAAGTCAACGGGAGAGTAAGACTTAACATTTCCTTTCCTGGGAAGGGCCAAATGCTTTTAGAAGCAATTCTACACAGCCACCAGCCTCACACCTTAAATGCCCAGAAGCAGCTTTGGATAACTGCAGAAGGGTCCCTATAGCTGTACCCCATCTTTCTATAGAGCTGGCCAGCTGACTCAGAGAAAGATTGGATGGGCGGGGGCGGGGGGGGAGGGAATGCCTCACCTCTGTTCAGCTCTAACAAAATTTGCTTTCCTCTCCCCTCTGCCCACTAATAAAAAAACCTGGTTACTGTGCAGTAGCAATGGCAAAGCTAGACCTCCGGGTCCTTGGAGGTCACAAATACCAACAGCATTTTGACTACATGCAGTGGAGCTAATGAAATTCCAGTGGAAAACTACCCGCCCCGCTATTTTAGCCTCTCTTAGAGAGGCCCTGGAGGCTGAGGACAGCGAAAAATGTCACTTCCTATCCCACCGGGGGTTGGGAAATGGGCCCTTTCAGGCCTCCGGAGGGCCTCCGAGGGAGTGGGAAAGGCTGTTTTCTCCCTTCCCAGATGCATAGAGAGGATCTGGAGCCAGGTAAAAAAGAAAAACGGGCCTACCGGGCCATCACACCATTGCCATCGTGTGCCAGGAGGGAGGGGAGGGGGGGTTGCACGCGCAGGGCAGGGCACATAGAATTATGGGTGTGGGCAAGCGGCACACGCAAGCCTCCCCCACCCCCCGCCCCCTCCTGGCACACGATGGCAAAAAGGTTAGCCTAGGAGAACACTTTTATCTTTCTTCCAAAAGAAAAGCCATTGTAGAGGAAGGGAATTTCGAAGAAAGCAACAACTAAAGTGAATTGACCATTTTGAATCCCGTAATGGAAAAGAGCCAGAAGAAGTGATTAAGAGAGGAGTGAAAGGATAAAGCACCCTAGCCCCTGTGTAGATTTTCGTTTTTTTTAAAAAAAAGGCAAAAGTATTGTAGACTATAAGATAAAGGTAAAGGTTCCTCTTGCACATATGTGCTAGACGTTCCTGACTTTTGCTCATCTCTGTTTCAAAGGCGAAGAGCCAGCGCTGTCCAAAGACGTCTCCATGGTCATGTGGCCAGCATGACTAAACGGCAAAGACACACGGAGCTCTGTTACTTTCCCACCAAAGGTGATCCCTATTTTTTCTACTTGCATTTTTTACGTGCTTTCGAACTGCTAAGTTGGCAGAAGCTGGAACAAGTAACGGGACCTCACCCTGTTACGCGGCACTAGGGATTTGAACCGCTGAACTGCCGACCTTTTGATCGACAAGCTCAGCATCTTAGCCACTGAGCCACCATGTCCCTATATTATAGCCTATATAATTTGGTGTTTAAGACTATGTCATGCTTTAGTCCCTTCTCCCAGGATTCATGTTCCAATTACTGCCATTGTGGCTCTCTTTCTAAAAAACTGAAACTTACTTCAAAGTCTACTTTCAAGTTCCTACATAAGTGAACCATGATTTGATTTTCTCCACTATCAGGCTCTTTTAACCAGAATACAGAATAATAGAGTTGGAAGGCTCCTTGGAAGTTTTCTATTCCAAACCGTTTAAGCAGAAGACCCTATACCTGTGATGGCGAACCTATGGCACGAGTGCCACAGGTGGCACGCGGAGCCATATCTGTGGGCACACGAACGTTGCTCTAGCTCAGGTCCAGTGTGCATGGGCACGCCAGCCAGCCGATTTTCGGGCCTTCCGGGTCCACCGGAAGTTGGGAAACGGGCTGTTTCCGGCCTCCTGAGGGCCTCCGGGGGGGGTGGGAAGGCTGTTTTCGCCCTCCCCAGGCTCCAAGAAAACCTCTGGAGCCTGGGGAGGGCGAAAAACAGGCCTTCTGGGCCCACCAGTAACTTTTTTGCCATTGCGTGCCAAAAGCAGGGAGAGCATGGGGGGGGTTGCGCATGCATACGAAAGGGGTGAGTGAGGCACGGGGGGCATTGAATTATGAGTGTGGGCACACATGCACGTGACCCCCCCCCATGCTCCCCTAGCTTTTGGCACGCGACGGCAAAAAGGTTAGCCATCTCTGCCCTATACCATTCCAGAAAAATGGCTATCCAATTTGTTCTTAAAAACTTCTGAATAATTATCCTAATGTCAGGAAATTTCTCCTTATTTCAAGGTCGGAAGTCTCTTAATTAGTTTCCATCCATTGCTTCTTGTTTAATTTTGTCTAAAGTTTTCCTCCTTCTGAAAAAGCAGTTTTTTACCTTTGTCTTCAGGTGCTTGATAATTTATTCCAAATTTTTCTTGTTGGTGCTTCTGAACTTTTTTTTTAGTGCTGTAGACAACAGTCTCCTACTGCCCGCTGCTGCCCTTTTCCATTATGTGCCTTCCCACTACTCTGAAGCCTCTCTGGCTGCCTACTATGTTTGAAAAAGCCCAATTGGAGAAGATCAACATCATGCCTTACCTAGAGAATTAAACAAAGTATGAAAATCCAGGAAGGCTGGAAGCTGCTGGAGAAAGGATTCTACAGCATAATGCAGTATTCACATACAGAACTAAGAAAAATGTTTCATTTTGACCTGTTTTCATTAAATTCATTAAAAATTGATTAAAAAATCTCTTTTAAAAGAAATTTTGAAAGAAAAATGGACTCTATCAAATTAAAAGCCTTTTTTTTAATGTAGGCTACAAAATAGTGAGAAGTACATAATTCCATCAACATGGCTTTCAAAATTATAATAAATTATTAAAATATAGTTTTGAGTAATGTATGATTCAAAATTTCAGGAAACAGTTTCTAGATGTAATATAAAACTAAAAAAATCCTGGCTGAAATCTTACCGGTATCCATACACATAGCGTGACACTTCAATTTCAGATCCAGACTTAAATGGCTCAAATGAGAGCTTCTCAATCAGTCGCGATTTTTCAGGTAATTCCTCAGAATCCATAGCTATGCTTCCCAGAATATGAACTGTGCTTATCTTTCCATAACCAGCATTGTAAACCTGGAGAAGAATGAAAGTGCCAATATGACCTCGCTTACTTTGTGACCTCACTGTTAGAATAGCATATGCAAAATCTAAAATCTGCTGCTTGGGCTTTTGACAGTTTAGAGTGGGACAGTTTAGGGGTGTCAAACTCGTGGTGTCATGTCGTCACATGATGTAACATGGCTTTTTTCCCCTTTGCCAAAACAGGAGTGGGCGTGGCCAGCAGGCCACGAGTTTGATACCCCTAGTTTAGCAGAAAGCTCATTAAATGTTCCTATCATTTTGATAGTGCTGTAATTTTTTTTTATTTCTAGTGTGAATACTGCAGAGGAAATGATTCAGCTATCAATGTATAGAGGAAAATGATTAAGTACAATTGTTTACACAAAACAATTTACCTGCTTTTTAGAATTTGCAGTTCCTACTTTGAAATTAATAAATTGTTCCAAGATTTCATTTCATTTCATTTCATTTGTATACCGCCCTACTCCCGAAGGACTCAGGGCGGTGAACAGGCACAGAATAAAAGACGTAAAGTACAAAAATTAAGAACAGAAGTAAAATCGAATTAAATCAATTTTGCCCGAGACAAATTTAAAACCCCAGATGTTATGTTATGGTTCCATGTATGTTCCATGACTGAAGTGCCATGACTAAGATGTAACTAGGTTATAACCTTCTCAAGGTTACGCTTTTGTCTAGTTACCAGTTGCATGAAAAGTGCAAGAGGCAACTAAGAAACTTCTTGGCTTAATTGAAGGCAATTGTAAGCAGGCACGTCTGCCTTCTAATACAAACTGTTAAAAGGACAGATTTGTCAGATAAAACACGTCTGTTTGTGTTGTGTGTGCCTTTCTTGGATGGAGGTATTAAGCATTTATAAAGGGCAATTGAATAGTTAGAGCAGGGGTGTCAAACTCGTGGCCCGGATGCATCACACGTTGTGCACTCCCACGCCCAGTTTAGCAAAGGGGGGAAAAGTCACAATATGTCACATGACGACACCATGACAACACGAGTGTGACACCCCCGAGTTAGAGGATCCTCAGAGGAAGGAGGACCGTGTAATTGATAACCCAGCAGAAGCAAGTAGGAGCAGAAACAAAAATCTGTAGAGTGGATTGGCTTGTGAAAAAACTAGACCCCCATTGGGAAAAACAGAAGGAAAGTGGAAAAATTCAACCAAGGTGCTGGCTTTGCAGAAGGCTTGGAAAAGGTTTCCCTCTTCCTCCTCCTCTCCAGGAAAAGAGAAGGAAAGTAAAAATAAATATTATGAAGAGTTAACAAAGGAGTGGTAAAGTTTAACAACCCACTGTAACCAGTATAGCTTTCAGAGTAACAGTGTAATATATTAATAATGACATTGTTCAATAAGTACAAGGCCCACACTTTGTCCTAACTAAAGTTTGCAAGTAGTCCTTAAAATCAGCTTAATGTAAAGCAAATTATAGGTAGTCATTAACTTATCACCACAGTTGAGACCAGAATTTCCATCACTAAGGAAGGTAGTTAAGTGAGTCACATCCAATTTTATGACCTCTTTGCCAGTTAAGCCAATCAGGGCAGTGTCAGCCCTAGAAGCCATCTTTTTCTTTGGATCTTCAGAGCTGCCACATTTAGTGCTGTGGGAAACTGGAAGGGGGGATTGTATGGAGTTGGGGAGATATCTAGACATAATAACATTTTTTTCTCTGAGAGTCAAGGACATCTTGCCCTGCACCTGGAGTGGTGTGACAGGGAGGTATCTCCAGCTGGGACAGTGCATTGATTGGGCCATGTGATGGACATGTGGGTGCAGGGGAAGGGACTTGGACTTTCTTTTGGGTGGAGGAAACCTGGAGGCTTTCAGAATTGGGTTTTCCCAGATGTGTCAATATGACATCTCTAATAAAATGGAACTATGAGGAACTTCTAGCCTCAGAGTCTTCTTTCAGTGAGGTGTTACTTGGAACCCTGACAGGCAGTTGTTAAGTGAATCATGTGGTCATTAAACAAATTCAGCTTCTCCCATTGACTTTGCTTGTCAGAAGCCAGCTGGGTAGGTTGCAAATGGCAATCACATGACCCTGCGTTGCTGCAACTGTCATATATATGGGAATTCTGGAAGTTGAGAAACATTGACTTAGGTAGTAATTAAAACATACAATTAGACCAGGAATGCCCAAATCCGGCCATAATTATTGGTACCTCTAACATATTTTGCAAAATATTGTGTTTTGAGGCACTAATTGCAATCAATCCCTTTCTGTAGCTTCAAATAAGACTTCCATACTTCTTATCTAAAGGTTGGGTTCAATTTCTTTATTAATTCAGAAAAGCAACCGAATAATGTACCTTGGAAGTCATCCTTCCATTACTATTTTTAAAAAAAACTCTTTTGTCATTTGAATAAAAAGTATTAAGCAATTAGAGGAACGTTTATTTGCATTTTTAACTTCAAATATTGACATGATTTTTCCACATGTAAAATGAAATTCTGAGAGATTTTAAAATCCACACAAATATCTTTGACAAGTGCTTTAAACAAATTATTGGAAGTACTTGATTTCTTAAAGAGTGCAATATTAACACACATCTTTTCAAAAGAATAAATCTAAAGCTTTTATTCAGGTCTTGACTTGGACACTTGAAGGGCTAAAAGTGGAGAGGGGAGCATGTATGCAAGCACCAATATTTAATTTATTCATCCATTCCTACAAGGATAGGTTTCAGTCTGACCTTTGCAGATTCAGGGCATTATTCTGAAAAGGATTTCTGGGTAGAAACTGACTTCTCAGTTATTGAAGGATACTTAGCTAAAATCTATTTTCAAGGCCTTTATGTTGAATACATCAAAATTCGTAAAGAAGGCTGCGTGTTGAATTATTCTCCAGTACACCTTTAATTTATCCATGTTCTAACTACAGTGGGTTTTATTTCTAGGGGAGCATGTGCAGAAGTGTGTGATTTTTCACCAAAAATAGTCTTTCAGCTAAAAGAATTAATAGTCTTATAGCACCCATTAAAACATGGACCATGTGTCATTTGTATTGGGGACCACTTAGAAATGTCAATCAAAATACTTTCACAGACTTTTATCATTATGGAAAATAGGCACCATAAGGAATTAACAGAATCAGAAACCAGAGACAAGCGTTTAAAAAGAGTAGTATGAATTGTTTATTCAAATTAAAATATAGAAAATTATACAAGGTAAGGATGGCAATTACATGAACTGGGCAATATCAAATCCGGCCAGTAACAGTGACATCCATCCCTGGATGAAGATTCTGTAGCATCAGGAGCTTCGACTTTACTAAGGATGTATCCTCTTCAGACTCTAACTGAAATTATCCAGTTTGATTTCCATTTTTGACTTGCTACCAAAAATATATTTAATTTTGTCAACCGAAATATGCAAAACTGGTCAATCTTTATATCTATCAAGGAACCTGTGTATTTTGCCTGAGAACTTATTCTATTAAATCTATAATTAAACAGCAACATACTGCTTCAAGACTCACCTATGTTTTTCTTCTGCAAACCTTCTTACTTGACAAAGAGCTTGAGAACTCAACACTTACAAGCTATTTTGTTACTCAATGTGGTCTCATGAATATATTGCCCTAATACGGCATAGTCAGCATAGCATAGTGAATGGTCAAACTGTCATTCATTCATTCATTCACTCACTCACTCATTCATTCATTCATTCACTCAGCTGGCCCTTTCCTCCCCCACATTTACCCAGACTTTCCCAATCTAGGCTATCTACACAAGCAGTGGTGGGATTCAAATAATTTAACAACCGGTTCTCTGCCCTAATGACCGGCTGAGTGGGTGTGGCCAGGCTGGTTGACAGGCAGCACTTGGCCTCCTGCACTCCCTGGGAACAAAAACGGGCTGTGGGGGGAACGCGCCAACCCCTTGCACCCCGTTTTGGGCCTGGTAGGACTTAGAATTCATGCATGTGAATGAATAATCAGGGGGAGAAACCCATAGCCCAGATAATTCCCATTAATGCAAGGCTAACTACATTGAACTAAAAGGTTTGGTTCACTGAAAAGTGCTGCATTTTCCATAGCATTTTTCATCCAAAGTAGGGCAAAATACACAGATTATGAGACTGAACAATATCATTTTTCTTTCCATGTTCTCTTCTGATGCCATTGAGAAAAGCAATGTAACTTCTTCAAAGAAATGCCCCAAGTGACTTCCTCTGGATGGAGACATGTAGGAATAAAAAATGGCATTCGTTGTGTCAGAGAGGTTAAGAATCTCTTCTTCCAGTATCAATCTTCGGCTGTAAACTGCCTTTTTAATAGTTGAATTTTGGCTTAAAAGCACAGCAATAAACATCTCCCTGTTATTTAGCCATATTAATAAGATTTCTGTTTAGTTTTAATTATAAATGTGTGTGCCTATAATAAACGTGAAAAATAGTCTTTTTTCATCCTCTTTCTCCTCTAGATCTGTAGGTTGTTGAGTAAGTCATTCTTTTGGTCTACTCTTAAGCCTTGTTTCTACTACTCCTGTCTCTGAGCCTCAAAGTTGGCTCAGACCAACTTCCTCTGACTGTTGCCCTCAAGGAGATTGGAACACAGTATGATCAATGGCCAAGAAAATGAACAAATTCGGGAAGAGTCTGACTTTTTACCCCAATACGCTGCACCAAGACTCTTGTTTGTCTAGAAAGAGCCAGATTTGTGCTCAGGAAACAGGAGAGTGGGAATCCCTTTGGATCTAGCCTAAAAGTTGAAAGCACATGGAATCAATCTGACAAATATGCTTAGCTCAATATAAAGTACCAGGCTTGTTTTTTTAAAAAACATTCATTGTGATTATTGTATTAAGTTGACCAAGATTTCCAAGAACATAACATGATTTTTTGTCACACAATCAATTGCGGTCATTTTATTCCAGAGAATACCTGAAAGTTTAAACAAGTGGAAAGTGCATCTGAATACCTACAGCAAGGGAGATTTTCTCTCGGCTATATTCCTTGCAACTATACATGTTAATATAGGATCACCTGACCCCCCCACGCACACATTAATTATTGAGTAAAAATTCAGATGATAGCATTGAACTGTGCCTCTGTCATTGTGTATAGAATCTAAAAGATAAAAGGGTAGATAACAGGGTACTAAGATGCAAACCCTACTAGTCAGCCCAAATCATTCTTCTTTAGAGGAACTCCTGGCCAAATGGTCAGTGTTACTGAAGACAGATGACCACAGGGGAATTGTCACTGATACACAGAATAAACAACTCAACTTTTTAATGCAGCAATTCTAGTGTTTTATATACTTGATAAAAAAAATTTATGTATCTCTGCAAAAGCTTCTGCAAGAATGGGGAAATTTAAGGATTAATTATTTTTACCGTAAGAGAAAAGACTAAATAAACAAATTATAGAATTTGTTTATGATTACTTTAGCACCCAGTTGTTAGACAAGAAGCAGCAGCTTTGTCAATAAATTGAGCCAGCTTGACATCTCGCTTTGTCAGGCCACCACAGTCATGGGAAATGAGTGTTATCTGGACCTTTGAACAAGAAAGATAAAAGTTCATCACACACACAAAAATTGCAACTAAATACATTTTTAAAAAAGAACATAACCATTCATAAATTAATGTATTTCCTTGCAGACTAGATTTAGTATGAAAATCTCAAGTACATCTTAATTTGTATCTTTAGTTTAAAAAGCACCTGTCTGTTGTTCGAAAACTGGAATGATGTTGATATATATATATATATATCTCAGCAGACAGAACTTGAAGACAGTTGTACAACAAACATGTTTGCAAAACGTTTCTCTGGGGGGGGGGAAGTCAATTTATTTATTTTCATTATTCATAGCATGCCCCAAACATAATGGACCCTGGGTGGGGTATAACTAGGCCATATACAATACAAAAATTAAAATTATCAATAATCAAAGATCAAAGATACTAAATAAATGAGGGTTCAAACTCATATCAGAGCATGGCTATTTTAAACTATTTACAGAAAAATATCAGGCTTGATATCTCAATATCTCTCAGGGGGAGAATATTCAATAAAGTGGGGCTGCTACTGAGATTTGTTATAGCTGTTGTCTCCAAGTCAGAACCATGTTGATTGTATTACAATAGTCCAGGTAATTAGTGATCAACAAGAGTTACTGTTGCCAGGCAATTCATTCCAGGTAGAAATGCAATTGATATGTCAGCCAAAGTTGGGAGAAAATTCCCCTGGCCACAGCTTCCATCTACTGTTTAAGGAAGAACTGGGAATCCAGAAGAAATCCAAGGTACACAAACCAACTTGGTTTGGAGGATGGGGAGTGTGAATTGCCTAGCCAACGTTGTCAAAGTATCTATTGATAACTAACAATTCCACCATAGTAGAATTTAACCTAAGGTTATTTTACCCAATTGTCACAGCATCCAGGCACCAGTTAAAGATTACTATGACATGTTCAATTAGCAATGCATAACTGGGTATCAGCAGCATATTGGTGACATCTTTCTTCAAACTGATAAATGACCCATGGTTATATGTATATGTGTAGATGGAACTGGCCACTTGGGAGGGAGAGGAATTAGCATAAAACTGTTCCAGTTTCCCAATCCATACAGACAGTCCCAAAGGGTACCAGAGCTGATGGCACTCAATGCAATTGAGGGTCCCAACAAAAAGCACTGACCAATGCTCTTTTGGTTCTGAATCCTGACCAAAATCCTATGTCATTTAGGATTCTCTGTAGCTAATTTGCTGTCACCTTCTAAACCAATTTTACAAGGAAGGACAGATTGGAAACTTGGTGAATATTGTGAAAGATAGCAGACCTAAGGAAGGCCTCTTCAAGAGAAGACACGACTACTGCTCTTTCAAGGCAAGAGGCATTATGTCTAAATCCAAAGAGATACTGATTATCTCCTGGAGCCTGCTGCTCATGCCCTCTCCCCCAATCCAAAGAAGCCAGGAGATCAAACCCACAAGTGGCAGAATTCATACTATCAAGGACCCAATTTACTTCTTTCGGCTTCAGAAGATCAAAGGTATCCCAGATATAATGCAAACGGTGCCTTGCTCAACAGTGGATTCTGTCCAATTGACATTATATTTTCTTTAAAAAGTACTTGTACATATTCATTGCATAAGAAAATCGGATTATAACCAATTGGTAGTGAGAAACTGTTCAGATTAAAGTAAAGGTGAAGAGATGGGCAACACTTTGCTCTGATGTTTCTTCCAAGGGATTATTTACATATCTCTAGCAGAACACTATGTTTTACTTTGTTAAATTTCTTTGTATTATCCAGCTACTGGCGGAGGAGAAAAGGATTAAGTCTAATTCTCAGAAATTAAAACTGTATCAGGAATATCAAGAAACACACACACAATGTTAGAATAGAAATTGTTATCAAAACTCCTGAATGCACATGTTGCCACAAAAAATATCTTGTTTAAAATCATGTTAAGTACAGATTTAAAAGCAAGAATTTCTCCTTAAGAAGTGAGAACTGTTAATAAAACGACAGATATAGAACCAGTAGTAAAACCGGTGGGAGGCTCCGCCCACCGACCCTGACATCATCAAAACGCTTGCGTGTGCGCGGCCCTGCTACAAACCAGTAATAAAGGTAAGTAAAACCCACCCCTGAACCAAATAATCATTGCAAAAAAGTGGGGAACGAAAGTGAAATAATTTGAAAAAGATTCCAACAAAGAGACTGAACAATGCTCTGGTTTTTAATCTATTTGGGGGAGTTTAAAAATATAATTAGAGCCTGGTAGTCACCAATGAAAAGAGATAAACTACTAGTTCATTAATATTAATTCAGTACCTTATTGTATACATTAAACCACTCAGGATGATGATTCATCTTTTCAGCCTGAAGAGCTACCCGAGTCATAAAACCAAAGGCCTGCATAAAGAAAAAAAAATTAAATGCATCTGTAATTCTTAAAATAAAGCATTTTATTATATTCTGCATATGCCAGAAGGGAAAAGTGTCAAAATGTAAGAGAAAAAAAAAAAGAAAAAAGCAAACAAGTATAGGCCTGATACAGTTCATGCAGTTCTGAAACAAAAAAAAAAATCCTGATTAAATTTTACTAGTAATGGAGAATAATACCAAGAAAGTGCGTCACAGAGATTATTTCAGAAATTGTTACAGAAGTCTGATGAAAATCAAACAAAGCAAAATTGTATGTCACCCACTTTATCCTGTGCAAAACTATCCACTATTTCACCCACTTTATCTTGTGCAAAACAAATTCTACAGTTTACATTCATCCACACAGTACATGAGTGCTTAAAGTATCAAGAATCCAATCTTATGCAGTGATTTTCCCTTGCCAAAACCAAACAAACTGCTCTCAAAATAAGACTAAAAACCTAATTGAAAGATTATTTTAACAGCAATAAATCTGTGAGACATTAAGTATGATCTTTCAAAGTCCACATATCTATCAAATGTACTAAAGTCTTGTTATAAAAATTTGCAGGGGAAAAACCATGTTCAACCCTTTGACAGCAATTTTGACTAAACATATAATCAAGAAGTAGTATAATAGTTGATAATAGTTTCAGTATTGTTTTCTTCTACCTCTGCTGAAGTATGACTGCAAATCACTTCTCCAGTCAGATGAATGCAATCATTACAATCAGAGCAAATTATTCCAACCAAGTTTTTCGTGTACAAATTATCAAAATGTTGGCAATTGAAATTATTTGCTCTCAAGTGAATCACAGAATTGCAGCCATTGTTTCACTTGATTTTGAATTAAATTTCAAAGTCAAACCACTGAAAAAAGCAGCTTTGAAACTTAAAAGTTCTGAAACTATTTTTGAAACACTACGAGCTTTAGTTTTTAATAGTGATAAAATAAGACATTTTCTACAATTTAATGAATGGCATGATTTAGAGTATTTACTTTATTACTCTTTGAAAGAAATTTACTAATGTTTCCATTGTGATTATTTATTTACTAGAATGTGTATGTAATCTCACTTCCAGGTTACAGTAGTACAATACAATACAATCCAAAAAAAGATAACATCAAAATAATCAGTAATTCTCAGTATAATTAACTACATCAACTTCCATGTTGCAAAAAACTCTAATGAACACAGTAAGTAAACAAAGCAGGCATCAGATTGGCTGTCCCTTTCTCACTGAGATTATACATGAAGTTAATCCCTGCATTTTGAAGTTATATTGTCTTTATTCTACAAAGAGATGGAAGGAAGCCAGCTCTAATAGATAGGGCACAATTATCGTTTCTTCGCTGGAGAGATCACCAAGAAAATCCACAGCTGTAATCGTTGGGGAAAAAAAAAACAACCAACCAACACAGAAGTTGACAACAGTAAATTACAACTATAAACTACAGCTACATGGATGTGTCCATGAAGTCATCAAACCTCATTCTTGATTTGAGGGACTTTTCCTTTAACTTGGACTTGAAAATGTTCTAACATTTGGGCAATACCATTAAATCCTTACCTATAGCTGTGGGTATCAAATTTTTTTCTCTATTCAAATTCCATAAACAGAAATTTATCACACGAATAGTCACAAAATGGAGGGGGGTTTTTCCTCAGCCATTTAACTAACTACCCCTGATTTCAATTATGAATTTTGTCCACTGAATCAATATTTAATTCAATCCCTAAAACATTACTAATGACCCATAAAATGATAATTATGATGCAAACACTATATAGTTTAATAGAATACACACCTATTTGCTTTCCCAGCAATAAAAATGTGTTTGAAAATATAAAATTTGGGAATAATCTCTACTGGAATTATCTGAACATTTGCTATGGTCAGCAACAAATCTAGTCTGCCAATAGCCCGAACACTAAATCTTGCTTAACCCTGGGATTTATGGGCAAAATGATTAGGTAGCAAGTGATAAAAAATTATATCTGCTTGAGACACTGGAAAGATACTGCCAACAACAATACAAGTCAGGTCCTTTCCCCCCCCCCCCCCCATGCTCTTTGGATTGAAGACAATGCACCTTTAGTTCCTGTCCAGGGAGGATTAATCAATATTCTTCTGCCTTAAAGATCCCCACTGATATTGCTGAAGATAGATACTACAGAATAGTCTCCATTTACTTTGTTTATTTTTGTCTGTCTGTCTGTTTGTCAAATAAATAAATTTACTTAGTTTACTTTAATATGGACTACCAATTATGAGTTATACAAAAGGAAAACTTTATTCGAAAGACCAATGGTGGTACATTTAATTCAGGGTGATCAACAAAGGCAACACTGTTAGCCACTAGTATATGCATCCAAAAATAATAAAGAGCAAAAATATAATGGGATTATTAAATCTCCCTAGGTTTTGGGGTTCCAATTGATATGAGATTTTGGATAAGAATGCCAAACAAACTGCAAGATCCTGAAAGTTCTGAGCTACTTATTTTTTTCAATCCTATGTTTAGATCCCAATATTGCTCTGAGAATCATGCATGTCGTGCTGTCCACAGACCCATGTTGCAAATTCTAGATCATATCATGGTCCTCAAAAAAAAAAAAAGAAAGAAAGAAAGATTGGAAATTGTTGAGGTAAACCACAATAAGCAAACCAAAGGTTAAACGGTAGTAGCCTAACAAGTGGAGTATTTTGTTTGTTTTTTTAGTATTAGGAGTTTGATTATCCTTGTGTTTGGGTATTTAATTTTATAGATCATTGAATGCAAGCTAAAAACAAGTCTCAATGAACAATGAAAAACAATAGTCTCAATGAAACTATTAATGTCACTCAATTTATTAACTACAACAGTTTTTGAAGGAATTCTTGTTTAAAAGGTTCTATGACATTTTAAAATATTTTATGGATCCTTTAGAATTATTTTTCTAACAGAGCAAAAATTTACCTTGCTGCAGTCAGGTTATCTGTATATCTAAGAGACTCATACCTTTATGGTCCATTTTAAATCTGTACAGCTGTCTCCTCCTTACATATATTTTTTACCAAGAAAATGAAAAGCAGGTCTGTTGAAGCAATTTCGGCAGAGCAATCTCCATTAAGCCTTCTAAATACTTCCCTTGCTAATTAAATGAAATCAGAACTTTATTGTTTATGGACCACCTTTTGTATCTGTAGGCTTATAACCTTCTTTTTTTATAAAATACAATTGGGAATGGGGGGAAAAGCTATTTAGGATTGATTATATATGAAAACATTATTACATAATCAGTTTGGACATTTCTTCACGTCTTGAAACATAATCAGTAATTGGGTGTAATTGGTGATCAAGGAAACTATCTGGTGATCAATTAAAGTAATTACCAGATTCCGGCAACACAACCAATCTTAATTTGAGCAAGAGTCTGCAATTCTTCAACTTTAATTTAAAATAATGAATATTATTAAGCAGTCTGTGAGCCAAGATCATGGTCAAGCCTACATTGTACGTAGTAGTCAAATTAGTTTTGGTAAGTTTTTGTTTACCAGCAAGCCAAACACTTCATGTTAGAAAGTGTTTTGTTTATTTTGAAAAAAAAAATCCAATGTGGTCTTGACCTTCATATCAGCACTATTGTTAAGCTTACCACCGCAAGGATATTTTAACATCTGGAATTTTTTTTCCAACTCATTGAGCAGGTCTTAAAATAATTCAATAGAAAAAGAGCATGCATTGTAGTGAATAAGCTTAAAGACCATTTTTTCCCCTAAGAATCAAAAATTGTCTTTCTGAGAACATTCTGGGACAATCTTATTACAGTAGGAAAGGTATAGGATGTATACAAAAAAAATACAATTTGCACATTTGTATTATACAATTTGTATTTAATTACATTTTTCTCAGGAAGTGTGACCAACACAACTACTATACTTTTTCAGCTTAGTAGTTTATTTCCAATATTAATCTCTCATCAGAACAAACCTTTTCTCCTCCTCAAAGAATTCCTTCTGATGAGAAAAGTTCTCCCTTAAACTTTACATATTACAGCTTGCATCTTTCCTACATTCTTTTACATTTCTGCATTGCTATTCTCATGTCTTCCTCACTTCTTTTGATCCTAATATTTTCATTACAATTACCTAATAACTCAGCTAAAGTGCTATGTGATTTCTTTAATAGAAAGAATTCTCAAAGAAAAATAGTAACAATATAAATATTTATTCATTATTCATTCCTTGACATTCTTTAAGCATTCAATAGGCAAAAAAATACATTAACCCCATGTTACTATTGCATTGCTGTAGCTTGCCATAGATCAATATTCCATTGGTTGTTGTATTAAGTTTGACAGCAAAAATTAAATTTCTTGATAATTTTCTAAATAATTAAAGTTGCTGGTATATTATCATGAGTTTTTAGGCATACTATGTCAGAATAATTTTTACTTAAAAGTATGCTCTATCATGCTACATCTACTATTATATTAGAATTATTGCACCACTTTATATATAATTAAATATGAAACACACATACTAATCAATCTCAGGATTAATAACGTTTCTGAGAAAATATCACAAATCTTCTGAAGGTTATGCTACGTTTAGAAAGTTACTTATTTCATTGTTATCTTTCATAAAACTGGATTCAATTAACTTCACATTCTAGAATACAAATGTTCTTTTTATATTAACAACTATTGTGATTAAATATATTGCTGGAATTACGCTTAATTAAAATCAATATTAAATGTGTTTCTATGTAAATGGCAGATAGACTGTAAAATATCAGTATTTTACAATGTTCTTAATATCAGTACTAGGAATAAATGTACTACATTGATTGTACTATATATCTTTTATAACTAATAATCAGATGCAACTTAAATGTGTCAGTGAGATTTAGCAGTCTCACTGCTACTCAATGACCACATCCAGAAAATAAGAGGAAACATATTAGACAGAAATGAATTATTAATGTATTATGCAGAGCAAAG